CACTCTTCTTTCATTTCTTCTTTAAACGAGGGAAAGACTGATATCAACTGCCTTAATTGCTCTTCCATCGCTCTTGTTATTGGCATTCAAATCCCGCCGCTGCCACCAAAAATTGTTGCGTGCGTACGAGTTCGTTACGAAATGAATGCACAAGTCCGATGAAAAAGGAACAAAATTATTATTATCACAGCAAAAATGCTTAAATCTCCTCAGATATTCGTGCAGTATTACAATATGTTACAGTAGTTATCTTTCAACTACTCAAAACGTTCAAGAGAACTTAATTCGAAACAGCTAAAGAAAGCTAATCCACGAATTCGCTACAGTCAACAAGAGCAGTTTTCTAAACAAATTCTTAAAGCAACAACAAACAAACTAAAATCATCGAATTGAGAGGTTTTTCTCCTTTTTACAAGATTTTTACATCGCGTGCGAGAATTTTCTGGAACTTTCTCGAAATCAAAGAGATATTTACTAAATGTTAAATGCACGTGCTCTTGTATTTTAAATTTTGCGGCTTAGCTTTCCTTTAATATTCATCACGCGCTACACTGCAAGGGGAATAAAACACTGCACGGGGAATAATGCCTTGCTTGATACCGTCGGACTTTGCTATTCGGATCTCACAGAACTGTGGAATTTAGAGACAATTGACATAAAAGATCCGGCTGAAGTGAAAACTAAGGAGAATTTAGACACTGAAACGATCACATTTTTCCTAGAAAACATTAAAGTAATCGAGGGCAATAGGTATGAAGTCTGTTTGCCTTGGAAGGATAGTCATCGGATTCTTGAAGATAATAAAGATAAAGCGGAAAAAAAGACTTTTCGCCAATACACGAAGATGGGATTTTTCGAAGAATATGATGATATTATTAAAGGCCGGCACGAGGAAGGTATAATTCAAATAGCTTCGAATAATAGTGATACTGATCACTTTATCCCATCAGGCAGTAATCAGGGATTCCAGTCTGACTACTAAAGTACGACCTGTATTCGATGCATCATTGAAGGATGAAAATGAGAATTCCTTGAATACTTGCCTCAAAAAGGGGCCGAATTTAATAGAATTGCTTCCAAAACGTTTGATGCAATCCCGGCAGCATACAATTGGTGTAACTGCAGATATAAGGAAAACTTTCTTACAAATCGGTTTGTGTGGTAGAAACAGAGACTTTTTGAAATTCCTGTGGTGGAAAGATTCAAATCAAACCGAAATTGTTACCTACAGACACTGTCGTGTCGTGTTCGGCATTTTTTCGAGTCGATTTCTGTTGGGAGCAACGATTTCCAACCGTTTGAATAATGCTCCACAAGATTTAAGAGGAACGGCAGTTAGATTGAAGAAATCCTTTTATGTCGACAATTGTATAGCTAGTTTTGAAACCGAAGAGGAAATAGTTAAGTTCAAAGAAGAATCCTAACTCTAATGTTTCCAGGAGGTTTTGATCTTAGAGGGTGGACTGTTGTACCATTTAAAGGGAGAAGCATGACTTCCTATCAGAAGATTATTCCAATTGTGGGACACCGAGAATGATGAAATTTATTGCAATTTAACCCCTTTGACATGTTCGGAGAGTGCCCACACGAAAAGATATCTGTTATCAGTTTCACAGAGGATATTCGATCCCATAGGATTTACTATTCCAACTGCATTAATGCCAAAACTCATTCTGCAAGAAACATGGAAGATGAAACTTTCCTGGGATGAAAATCTTCCACAAGGTATAGAAAGAGAATTTCAGACTTGGCTCAAAAGAATACACTTCTTGAATTATTGTAAAATTTCAAACCGAAATCCAGGCCGAAAACTTTCGGTGTACTGATGGTAAAAATTTGAAAGAGATGCTTTAAGGATGACTTTGGACTTCTTCGAGTAAGAACTGAACTAATTTTAAGGAATGAAGAAGAAAACTTTAAGTGTCCTATTCTATTGCCTAGGAACCATACACTAGTTCATCGCCTAATAGAACAGAAACATCGGCGACTGCAACATGCAGGTTCACGGACTAGGGACTGCGAGAAGATAATTGGATTGTCGGTGTGAGATGTCTTGTGAAGAGAATTTGTTCAAAGTGGGTTATTTGTAAAATATTCAAAGGGAAATTTGTTCAACTACCATTTGCACCCTTACCAAAGGACCGCATTAAATATGATGGAGCTTTTGAGGTCACTGGCATCGATTTGACTGGCCCACTGTATGTATTGTCTGACGAAAAATCATGGATTGTGACTTTTACTTGTGCGATATCGTGCTGTGCACTTTGACTTGACAAAATCTTTATCAGCAGATTCCTTTATAATGGCACTTCGAAGATTCATTGCAAGAAGGGGTAGAGTAAGCATGATATATACCGACAATGGTACCAATTTTGTAGGAACGAATAATGCATTAAACGAACTTGATTGGGAAAAAATAACGGAGTTCTCAACAATTGAGAAGATTAAATGGAAGTTTAATCCTCCAACCGCTCCCTGGTGGGTAAGATTTTGGGAGAGGTTGGTACGGATTGTAAAAGACCTTTTAAGACTAGTTTTGGGTTCTAAAACAGTCAGTTATATTGAGATGGAAACTATACTATGCGACTGTGAAGTAACAATGAATTCACGACTCCTAACTTACTTAGAAGACGAGACTGCGGAGTTAAAGCCATTGACACCTGCATATTTTATACAAGGAATCCCTCACCATGATGTAAAGGATCTGGATACTATAGACAGCAAAATTTTAAATCGTCGCTTGCGTTCGATTTATAAAATCTTCGGAATGAGTTTTTACGCTCGAGATTTAAAAATGAGTACCTAGCCCTGCTAGTCCATAGAAGAGAACGAAGAGGAGACACTTTAGAAGTGGGTGATGTGGTGTTGACTGGAACTCCGAAAAAGCACATCAACTGGCCACTCGGGACTTGCTGTTCAAGTATTTGCAGGTGCAGATGGTTATGTAAGAGTGGCAAAAGTAAGAAAGGTTGACGGAGAAAAAATAAGACCCGTCCAAAACCTGAGTCCTTTAGAAGTGACTCGTCCCTCAGAGCTACCTCAGCGTTTTCAGCCTCAAGTCTCGTTAAATCCAGATCAAGATGCAGATCATAGAAGATCCTTCACACAACCAACAGCTCTGGATGGTCAGATTGATACATCAAGGGTAGTTGAGCCTCTGATCGAGTCCCCTACCCATTAGGGTCGGAAGAGAAGTAAAAGTTCCTCATCGATTGAATCTCTGAACTGAGTAGAGAATATGCTGCAATTTCCTAAACTTGCAAGTTGGCCGGATGTTAAGGAACGTGCTCGAACTCAATTAATACACAATAATTTAATATGTTCATTTTAATGAAGATTTTTTGTGGCAAAAGTGATGTTTTTGTTTACATATGCTTTGAGCGGATAGCGCACGGAATGTTCCTTCTTTTTTTCAAATGTTTAGAATGCGAAATAAATAAGTCCGTTGTTAATTAAAAAGTTTTCTCTGCGAAATATACGTAGGGGAGTCAACTGAAAACCATAAAAGTAGAAATAAAAATCCGGATATGGCTCCAGTGAGCTGTAAGTTGGCATGCCTGTTTGCGATATTATGCCGGATGTCTCCTAGGTGGCAGCAGCCGGCAGATGCACAAACACCGGCGCAACAACAGTTCCAAAAATGGCAGCCCCACTAGCCACATGCACCAGCGAGGAGCAGCGTTCTGTGATTCGGTTTTTGCGAAGTGAAGGTGTGAAACCGATTGACATTTTTAAGCGAATGAAGGTTCAGTATGGAGATGCGTGTTTGTCACAGCCACAAATCTATGAATGGTGCCGGAAATTTGCAAATGGTGTTACGTCCGTGGCCGATGCTCCACGCCCCGGCCAGGCTCGGCGCGTAGTGACTCCAGAGACCATTTCAGCCTTTGAAGCCATTGCTTTGGAAAACCGCCGTATGACAATAGACGAAATTGCAGCATTTGTACACATGAGTTATGGATCGGCACATCATATTGTGCATGATGTTCTCCAGTTTCATAAGGTGTCTGCAAGATGGGTGCCCCGACAACTGACGCCTGAACTGAAACAGCGACGTGTTGATGAGTGCGAAGACCTTTTGCGGCGTGCTGAACGTTACGGTAATGCCTTCCTGTCACGAATCGTCACTGGTGACGAAACATGGGTGCCTTACCATCAGCCTGGAACAAAGCGAGCGAGCAAGGAGTGGCGCCACTCTTCATCACCGAAACCCAAAAAGTTTCGGACACAGCCGTCTGCAGGGAAGGTTATGCTGACCCTCTTTTGGGACGAAAAGGGCATCATCTTGGAACACTACACGCCACGAGGAACCTCTGTTACGAGTGCTACGTACTCGGACCTCCTAAAAAATCAGCTCCGGCCTGCCATCAAAACGAAACGACGTGGATTGCTGTCAGCCGGTGTGTTGCTGCAACACGACAATGCACGGCCCCATACGGCACGTGCAACGGTTGCGATCATCACAGACCTGAAATTTGAATGCCTTCCACATCCCCCTTACTCGCCAAACCTCGCACCGAGCGATTTCCATCTGTTTGGTCCGCTCAAAGAAGCAATGGGCGGCAGGAAGTTCCACTCCGATGAAGAGGTCCGCAACGCGGTGAACGAGTGGTTGCGCCGTCGCCCAAAAGACTTTTTTTCTGCAGGTATTCAGGCTCTTCCGAAGCGCTGGCGGACTTGCATTGAACGAGGAGGGGACTATGTTGAAAAGTGATTTACTTCTGTACCCTGTGTGACCAATAAATAATATTTAAAAAAATAATTATGGTTTTCATTTGACTCTTCCTCGTATTTCCATTCGTACGAAGTTACTAAAATAAGTAAAATAAGTTGAGAAATTGATTAATTTCAAACACTCATTTTCATAATATCAATCGAAAAAAAAAAATCTTCGAAATTTATGTTGCAATCTTTATTTACATTTGAATCACTTTCCTTGTTAAATTTTATCTATTTCGGAATTCAGAACCGACGACTTTTCTGAAGATTAAATTACAAACCTTTTTGGACATGTTGACAGAGAAGCACCACTCCCAAAGGGATTTAACATTTAAAGAAGCCTCCGGCCAGTCTGTACGTATGCCTTGAAACAAGTGGCAGGGTATATCCATCTTTGTCGTCTAAAATAATCAAAACGTCTTAAATTTTGTAAGTCACTACAAAACATATGCATTGTCAAAATGTCAGTTATAGAGATGAATACAGAAGAAAAGTTAAAATTATGAAATATTTAATTACTTCATGTATTAGTTTATTTATCATATTTGTTTAGCTTACGTTCTACGACATTATAAAATAAATAAATTAACAAATAGTTTGAAATAAGATTTACTTTTCGTGATCATGTCATATAATAAATAAAAATAAGAAACAATAGAAATTACTTAACTGTTTACTTTCATTTATTATGACATGACCAAAAAAAAATAGACCTGTGTCAATATTTTCTTTCGTATCAAAATAAAATATTTCACCAGTCATTCCAAATAGCATTTTATATATAGTTTGAACGCAAATTAACAAATTACCTTTTTGGTGGCTTTATGTTTTTTCCTTTTTTGGCTTTTTGGGATGTTTTATGTTTTCTTTTAGCTGAAAACTTAATTTTGGAATTCTACTATTTTGTGTTTATTATGTAAAATATGGAAACACTGATAAGGAAGATCTTTCAACCTTGAATCCTAAATTTTCACCAAAATTTACATAAATGAATCTATTTATCTAGAAATACATAACAGTTAAAAAAATTTGCACTATTTGCTAACATTCTACAGATAATCAGATCAGAAATGATAAAAACTGAGTTTTCGGTCGCAGATAGCCTTTCAGTTTGTTTTGAAAATATTGCAATTCATAGTGCTATTTGCAACTGATGTAGAAAAAGTTATAAAAGTTACTTTGATAATTTTTTCCCCGCACTTAATTTGTGCTATACATTCTTTCAATCTCTAATCAGCGTATTTATTACCATGTATGTACTCAAATACAAGGTGATCCGAAGGTTACTACACCATTTTAAAATGAAATAACATTTTTTAAAAAATTTATAATATGAATTTGTTCTTTTATAGACAGAAAACAGACTTCTTGGAAAGAAATTTAATTTGGTTTTGAAACTTATATCCGTTAAACAGCCACCATTTTACGCTTCACACTGACGCACTCTTTCTAATCATAACCTGTCTGAATGTTTCTCGGCTTATTTCCGAAATTTCTTCTTGGTTGCTAGCCTTCAGTTGCTGAGTGGTTCGGGATTGTTATGGTATACGCGCTCTTTCAAATTAGCCATATAGGAAAAAGGCTGAAGCAGTTAAGTTAAGCGAGCGTGGCGGCCATTTGTTTCCAGAGTTTCATGAAATCATCCTTCTTCCACTCAATATTTTAAAAATTTGCCCAACAATTGAACTTTTAAGATTAATTTTTGGTTTAGACCCTAAGACCATATTGCCCTGCACTGGACATAATGCGTAAAACCATACCGCACTGCTTTGTTTGCGTTTTATTGACAGGAAGTAATCATTGAAAATAAATCATGGAATTAAATGAGAAAACTTGATTAGAATTAACACATGCTCATTCTGTTATGCCTGAGTCTTAAACTCTGAAGTGTTTGCTACATTAAATACTCTTTAGACGCTTTATAGGTCCTAACGATAACTGTATAAAGTTGTTATATGTGAACGTTTAACGTAGGTTTACGTTCCTCTATAATGGTCTGATGGGAAAGCTATTTAAAGTGTCCGCGAATGCTTATATCTTCGAAACTGCTAATGCTACTGTAAGGATCTTAAGTTTTACTAACGTTTATTTTATTTTAAATCTTTACTATCACTTCTTATTTTCTACTTCCGGCCAGAATTATAAGCGTGAAGGTTTTTATGCAAAGTTTGTCTGGCGAACGCCAAGTATTTAAGTTGTGGCTTTTTGCCAAGCGAGAGAGAGGAAGGAGTTAGTCGAAGCAGGCCGCTTACCTTAGAAGTTTACTCAGTTGCTGGTTGCCTTCCAGGCCAGAGGTTTTAATCCTCGTGATAAATTTTAAACGTATTGTAGTGTTCACAGTTCTCTGTACTACATACGGCTTCCTGTTAATATAAGGCCAATCTTCCACGTTTATTATTTTAAAGTTAAGTTAGAGTTTAGTTAAATATTTTTATATTCTTACGTTAGACCCCGAAGTAGCGGGTCTGTGTATTCCGAAGTACGGAAGTTATTGTAAATAGAGAAAAATAAAGGGTTTTGTATACCCTTCTTGTGTATCCTGTCTACTTCCCACAGTTTATTGAACATAGCTTTAGTAAGCTCTCTGTTCCGAGTCAGGTCCTTGCATGTTCCCGAAGAAGGTAAGACGGAACATTGAACCTGATAGTGGCGCCCAACGAAGAAGAATAACCATGGCCGAGTTTCAAGAAGAACCTGTGCTGCCTGCAGAAACGGCTCAGAATCCAGAAATGCCAGCTGCCGCCCTGGAAGGATTTGGTTACATCGTCCAGACCATGCGCGCTTCGATGAAACCAGAAGCAACATTTAATGGAAACTCACCGGTAACCAGTTTTTTTGGAAAAATTGGATGACCACTTCATGCTCTACCCCGTGCACGAGTTTCAAAAAGTTACCTTAGCTACCAGCGCTTTGAGGGGCCAAGCGCTTAACTGGTTCAAATGTATAGGCAGAAGTCTCTTGGGTCAAGCAGGAAGTCCCACCTATACTTACGAGAATTTCAAGACTGCCCTACTAAAAGCCTTCCCTGTTGTAAGGGATCGTGCGAAATTAGAAACGGAACTTTTCAGTATATATCAGCAAAGAATCGAAAACCTCTCAAGCTTTATTTTAAGAAAAATTCACGTCTTCAAACTCTTGTATGGAAACCGTCCGGATCCTGAGATAATTCAAGTGATTTTGCCGAGGTTACTACCCCAAGTGCAAGACTTTATTGAATTGAAGAAATCCGACTACACTGGAAAAGTTATTTGAGCTAGCAATCCAGTTTGAAAGTAGAAGAACGGCGGACGTTGAAAGAAGACGCCAATATCAACAGCGAAACCAATTTGGTACGCCAAGACTACAGCAAACTCAAGCACACGGCTACGGAGGCAAAGCGAATCAGTGGGCAAGGAAACCCGAGCATTCAAAAACAGCCGGCGAACGTCGACAGTTCAATAGCAACCCAGGAAAAAAGTCTCAAGGCCAGTGGAAAAAGAAGGAAAGCATGGAAACAAAAAAGGATTTAAACTAAAACGGATTTCTGCTGACGGGAGGGTGCGGAAATCCGAAGGCCACGAAAACCCCTCTTCCTACAAGTTAAATACAGTAATGGTGAAAAATTTGACTCTTCCGAAGATTGAAGTGTTGGTGAATAATATCCCAGCCACCGCACTCCTGGATACCGGCGCGCAGTGTTCCTGTGTGGCAGAAGATTTTTTTTTTAGGAAGTATTTTCGTAAATATCGCATATATAATTCGGATAATACGACAGTGTTAGCTGCGCAAGGAGAAAATGTAAGTGCATAGGTAAAGTTACCGCTTGTATATCCGTATCAAGGACGAACAAGTAAAGGTGATGTTTTTTATAGTAAAGAATCTGCAAGCACATATTAATCTTAGGAATAGATTTTCTTTCAGACGCACAAGCAACGCTGGATTTTAATGAAGCGTCCCTTAAGCTGACAATGAAACCAGTTCGTGAAGAAAAGGCTGAACCGCCGCCGATGTTAAACCTTGACCACCTGCCTAATGACGAGCAAGGAAGAATCCGACAAGTGGTAAGTGAATTTGCTTCGTTATTTAGTGATATTCCAGGATTTACTCAGGTTACTAACCATAGTATTGACACCGGAGATTCAATGCCAGTTCGCCAAAAACCATACCGGTATGATAAGAATAAGGAAAAAATTATAGAATGGCATATTACCGATATGCTACGTAAAAAGATCATAACGCCCATCTCAAGTAGTTATGCTAGCCCGGTGGTTTTATGTAAGAAAAATAATGACTATCCTTTGACACATCCAAAAGGTGGAGATTCGCTATTGACTACCGTAAATTAAACTCCATAACTAAATATCCGGTATATCCGTTACCGATTATTGAAGAAATTCTAAGGAACATAAATCAACCAAATTATATGACGACTTTAGACTTAACGACTGGTTATTTTCAAATAGGGGTTAGGCCTGAGGACGTGCCTAAGACTGCTTTTATAACCAAGTCTGGCACTTATGCATTTTTGCGTATGCCGTTTGGCCTTTCAGGGGCCCCGGCAACATTTCAGCGATGCATGGACATTGTGTTAAGACCTGTTCTTGGAAAGTCCACATTTATCTATTTAGACGATATCATTATTACTAGTGATAATCTCGACCAACATGTACAGGATTTAAGACAGGTGTTTTCTTTATTAAATGAGGCCGGTCTAAAAGTTAATGTCTAAAAGTTAATGTCGGTCAAAAGTGCAAATTTGCAGCCCCTGAATTAAAATATTTAGGTTACAAGATATCTCAGAAAGGAATCGAGACAGATGAATCAAAAATAATCGCTGTACAAAAGTATCCGACTCCAAACACGGCAAAGAAGCTCTCTTCTTTTCTAGGACTTTGTTCATATTATAGGTCCTTTATAAAAGATTTTGCAGCTATTGCTGAACCATTGTTAAAATTAAAAGGAAAAAGGCAAGATTCTCGTGGACGGCCGAAGCCAATAGTGCTTTCGAAAAATTAAAACAAGCATTAACGCAAGCCCCTGTGTTGAAATTTCCTGAAAAGGATGAGAATTTAGAAATTTCAGCGGATGCTTCGGATTATGCGGTAGGAGCGGTACTTTCGCAAAATCAGCAGCCCGTGGCATTTTTTAGCCGAACTTTAAATCAAACACAAAGAAACTATTCCGCGACCGAGAGAGAGGCACTTGCAGTTCTGTTAGCAGTGCAAAAGTTCCGAGTCTATTTTGGAAAGGCGCCGATAACAGTGTACTCTGATCATGCGGCGGTAACTAGATTGTACTCAGGGAAAAAATTTATCCCCAAGGTTAATAAGATGGGCACTCAAGCTGCAAGAATATAATCTGGTAATCAAGCATACCCCCGGAAAGGAAAATATCGTAGCAGATGCCCTATCAAGAATTAAAA